TTGCTGCCGCTTCTCTGGAAGCGGAGAGCGAGCTTCCCCTCGCTTGGGAATAATAAGCGGTGGCGCGTTCGCTAGCGGCTTCAGCCGGCGGACAGCGTGGACCCCAGCAGGGTGACAAACCGAGAGACAGCTAGGTAGGGGGGGTGTTTCCTGGTGCGCGTTTTAGCCTGAAAAAAACGGGCTCGATTGTCGTACGCAGCCAGAAACGGGGTTTTCTACAAGCCGTGGTGCGTGTGGATGCTGTGCGTTGCTTTTGTGCATCGCGTGCCGTTACTCTAGTGAGAGAGAGGGGGAAAACGGCATCGTTCCTGGGAAAAAAAGTGGATGGGCTTATGACAGTTTTCTCAAGGGCAGCAAGAGAAGTTGTTCCACCTCCTGCTGGGCCCTGCTTTAAACTGCACCTTGATAAATACAGAACGTGTGGTAGTTTGTATTGCAGAAGCTAGCCAGAAGTTAATACGAGTAGGAGATAGTCGGGTAGATTGTGCCCAGTTTGTGGGCCCTCGAGCAATGAGCCAGTCATCTTCTGTGCCTGGCATGCTTTCTCCCTGCCGCTGATGCGAACAGCGTCAGCCTGTCCCAAATGTTTCACTGGAAACGTTTAAATTATGTTTCCAGTGTTGTTCACAACCTGTGGAAATGTGCTCTGTGGTTTGGGGATCAAGTAGTTCCTATTCATGTGTATAATGCAATGCTCATCCCTGAAAGTATAGCCAGCCTTGGGGGGGGGGGGCAGAAAGGTAACCCAGACCATTCAAATGTGTATGTTTGGTATCTTTCTTGTGATTTTTTTTTTTTTTTTTTTTTGCTTACCCTAGATTAAAACAAGTTTAAATGTATGTAAGCTACAGACTTTCTTTGAACCCTGCACACAGAACCATGCTTATGCTTTTAAAATGTTCTAAAATTGCACGTGTAAAATCGAAGTATTCCATCTCTTTAATAATGAAGAAGGTAATTTACGGTTTTAATGCTAGCTCTGAAATAATAATATATTCAGTTGGAGAAGTTACCAAAAATGCTTTTCAGGTATAACTGCATGAGTGAAAATTTTAGCCCCAAAGCAACCTAGAAAGGTAGAGGCAATTAAAAGCTGGAATTGTGGATGTGTCTGGTTTGTTTTTTTTTTTTTTTTTTCATTTTTAGGTGCAACATGCTAATTGTGATGCACTGCTTAAGTGCAGATCAGGAAGACTCTGAGAAAGACTTTATTTTCATATATCTTAAAGCTCTAACAAACATAATGAAATAAGTCTTGTTGTCCTTAAGGCAAAACAGCAATTCACCTAAGTATTGGTGTGCTTTGTTATAAAATCATATGACTATTTTGCACTTAGAGAATTCAAAAAATAATTTGTTATGAAACTGCAGAGTTATGTATGTGGTTTTGCAACACCAGTGATGATATCAGTAGGTGTTTTGGCCAAGTCATACATGCACATTACGCTAGATCAGATTGATCATGTCAAGTGAATGAAGTTAGAGAAAGGATTTATTAAAAATGCTAGTGGGCAGCTTCCTGTTTTTGTCATCTTATTTCTTTTTAGGGTAGGACTTTGGTCTGAACTGGCTGAGTCACAAAGTCCCACCAATTAAAAGTATACCTCCTTATTTGTGGGACCTGCTAAAAAAAGATTCGCCTTTCTTTGTAGGCTTCCCATCCTTACTGTGAGAGAGTATTTGGGTATGCTATTTGCTTCAGTTCTACAGCAATGCTTTCTCCTTCCTGAATTGTTTTGCCCTCTAAGGTAAAGACTTATAGGGTTCAGTTCTGTGATTATTCAGCAAGTTTGGTCGAATGAGTACTTTTACCTTCTCTTCTTTCCTCCTGCTGATACTGGCATTCAGGCGACTAAATAGCAAGTTAGCTCAGGAAGGTAGTTTTGGTGCTCTTCAGTGTTTCTGGTAGGGTTCATGCACTGTGAGTTAGTTCCCCGAAATGGTCAGAAGAGGGCCAGAGTCAGCACACGGGAAGAAGCAGGCACTTAATGAAGTGATGGAGCAGTGAAGAAAGGTGGAGAAGAAATAGCCAGTTTTTAGATTTGCTTACCCATGTTGCTAGCAAACTAGTACTCAGTTGGCTGAAAATAATTTTTTAGGCAGTTGTTGAGGTCGGAGTTGCTGGCATAACTTCTTGTCCCCATACTCATTTTCTGGGAGGAAAAAATAAGAAAACAGCAGATTAAAATTTGGTTGTGTTATTTCACAGGATGCTGTTAAGAGTGAATAACGACATCAGCACAGGCTCTTAGTCTCTACTTTAAAGTGCATCTTCGTATCTTCCCAGCATTGTTGTAGTGTTGCAAAGTACCTTTCACCAGAGCAGTGCTAAATACCATGTAAATGGCATTTTGTGAACAGTTATTCACTTCTTGGTGATGCTATGGTTTTTTGATGTTTTAGGTAATTGTATCTGGAATCCTAGGCTTACTGACATGGAAGAAGCCCATAGTGCTTTTGGTAAGTATGGATTAAAACTTGTAAGGAAATTATCAGAAGATGATCCTGATTTAATAGTCATTGGTGTAAAAAAAAAAAAAAAAACCAACAAAAAAACCCCCACCAAACCCCAAAATACCTACCCACAAAACCCAAACACTTCTTTTTCTTGAAAAGATAGAATATATTGTTGAATTTCCTTTTTAAACTGTAGAATCATAATTACTGAAAGAGGACTCAAAGCCTGTGAAAGGCTGTATTCTTTCCTGCGTGGATAGAGTCCTTATTAAGGGCAAGAGTGGACCATGTCTGGAGGAACTGTTGATGTTGCTTACAGAATGCTTTTTGTGTTTGTGTAGGTATAAGAAAGTGCTGGTTTAGTATAAATAATTTAGCTCTCTGAGGCACTGCTGCTTAAGCTTAAACAGGGGAGTTCGTTTTAAAGCTTAGCTGGGTTGTCCTGTTTTAGTGTCTGATGGCAGGTTTGATAGCTAACCTAAGTATTGCTGTCTTACCCTAAGTATCCAGTGCCACTTTTTCAAATACAGTTGACGTTACATTGCTCTGAAAGAAGTAAATTGATGTGTGGGGTGTGTATGCTGTTTCTGTTTGTAAGTGAAATCTGAAGCTGTGTGGCTCTCAATGTCTCAGAGTCTGGATTTGAAAAAGAGGTTTCAAAGTGGGTTTTTGTTTGGGTTGTTTGGGGGTTTTTTTGTTGGGGTTTTTTTGCCTTACTGTCACTTCTGAAGACCTTTTCTGGGCCAAAGCAGTTGTTTTATTTTCATGCAGCACTTCTTTGGGATCCACATGATCATCAGTGAGGAGTGATCAGATGTATGAGCTGGGAATAAATTGCTGTTTCTCAGTTGTTCATTGGTTAGCACAGGCAGAGCAAAGCAACTTTTTTACCAGTTCTGTGGGTAGAAAGAGGAGCTTAGTGTCTGAGGCTCCCGATCTGGAAGGACCCTATTTTCATGAAAATAAATGTAAATGCCATCTGTCTCAAAATGCCTGAGACTTGCGCAGTCCTCCCTGTTTCAATATTGCCTGTGTTCTGTGCTATTTCTATAGCATGTTGTTGCTGTAGTTTCCTTTTGTCCGTTGTTGCTCTTTCACTCTTTCATATTCCCCTTTGCATAAACTTTATGGCCCCTTCCTAGTTTTATTTAAATAATAAAGCACCAAACTCTTCCTGATTTCTTTCCTTTATATCAAATTGTCTTTAGGACAGTCAAGTGTTGGAGCAGATTGTCCAGGGATGTTGTGCACCGGAGGGGGAAGTTTTTGAGATAAGACTGGTTAAAGCCCTGAGCAGCCTGCTATGATCTCATAGCTGACCCTGCTTTGAGCAGGAGGATGCACTAGATTCTTCCTGAGCTCCCTTGCAGCCACAGTTATTCTATGACTATGTGAATCTATGAACCTGTATTTTTTTTCTTCTTATTTGCATGTGTATTTTATAAAGATCTGATTTTTGAAAGCCAGATTAGATCAAACTTGACATAGGGAAACATTTCTTTACTGAGAGGGTGGTCAAACACTGGAACAGGCTTCCTAGAGAGGTGGTCGGTGCTCATGGCTGTCAGTGTTTAAGAGGCATTTGGACAATGCTTTTAATAATATACTTTAGCTTTTGGTCAGCCCTGAAGTGTTCAGGCAGTTGGACTAGATGGTTGTTGTAGGTCGCTTCCAACTGAAATATTCTATTCGGTTCTCTGCGGAAAAAAGGAAATTAGCATTAAACATTTTGTGAGGCTAAGGATATAATGCATTGAACTAGCTATAGTCTGTCAAGGACAGATCCTTAGTTTCTGTGAGCATATTAATTTTGGACTATATTTCTAATATATTTACCTTCTAATAATATTTTCTCTTGGGAGTTATGAGGACTTGTATGGGTTGTAAAAGCAAGTTTCCTAAATACCTAAGCAATGAGACTCCTTAGACAGCCATGGCTTAAGAGTTATGACATTCACAACTGAAACTATAAAATGCATGCGGAGCTAAAACATATCCCTTTTCCAGCTGTGACTGCCCTCCACTTTTTACTCCTTATGCAAGACCCTTTGCACTTATTTCTTGTAAATACGTTTCTAATGGATTCCTCTCTACCAACTTTTGGACTGAATTCATTTTCCCCTTGCCTGGCCAGAGCCACCTCCCTGCTGTGAAGGAAGCAGAGATGCACAGCTGTCTCCCTGACAGCCTTTAACTCAAGCAAGTGCTAGGTCTAGAAATGCCTTTATGCAGCAAGTGAGCTTTGTGGAAGGGATTGATTGCACATGAAGGTGGCTTTCTAAGATTGCTATTGAACCCAGAGAGTTAGCATGTTAGGTACCTGTGCTAGAGCCATGCCAGAAATCTGAGGAGTGATATCAATTACCATGTTTTATGTTGCAGCAACTTATGTCAGCATTTAGTTATCTTTACGCAGAGACTTTGGACTGTGCTCAACAGTTAAAGTTTGTGGGATTAAGTGGTCGTTATTCTTTTTCATATGTAGTTATGTCTCAATCTAGAAGTGCTGTCTTGTTCATAAGGAAGGGCCTCTTCTCATCTTTCTTTTTATGCAGAGCTCTTTTCAGTCACTCAGTTCAGTTTCATAATTTCTTCACATTGTGCAAATACCCCCAGAATTCTTTATATGCATCTGACCCCCCCAAATTTCTTTGTTTTCAGGCCAAGTTGGATAATTCTATCTAGGTTTTAATTTATCATGGTGTGTACTGAAAGCTCTCAGATGTAGTACCCTGTAGTTAAGGGTAGATAGTTGAGCTCCATCATTTAGACGTCTCTCCTTCCCAGAGCTGGGTCTTGAACAGAATTACAGTGACTGGTGAGTGCCACAGAATTTGTCCATTTGTCCATGAGCAGGTGCTAGTCCTCAGAGCCGTTTGTGGTAGGGTTTATGCTTAAGGACATGGTAATGCTGTTTCTTGTGGGTTCCTGTATTATCTTATTTTTGATTGTCAGTTTATGGTACTGAAGGAATTTTATAATGCAATTCACATTTATCTTTGCCCCCTTTAAAAATACTAGTTCTTTCTAAAAGAAACCTGTTTGCTACTCTGATTCAGGATTTCAGGGTTCAGGATTTTCTCTCTGAAACTTGCTGCAGTACGCCTGTTTGCCTGCAGCTCCTTTGCATGGCAGCAGTCTAGCCCTTACAGTAAAAGGGTGGTAAAACGTTTCTTTCCGTCTTCCCCCTTTAGGTGATGATTTCTCACTGCCTGGGTTTATTTCTTCGAGAACGGCCAGCCTGCCTTGTGGCTGCCACTTCAATCCGAGGCTTGGGCCATGAGGAAAAACAACCCAACTGGGTTTTTTCCCCCCCCCGTGACAGCAAGGCTCTGGTGCTGCTGGCACTTGGAGAAAGCGCAGTGCTGCGATGTCGTGAGAAAAGAGCTGGGGATGGGGCTGCAGTGCTGAAGGCAGACAGGGCTGCTCACGTTTTTCCCCCAGAGGGGAGAAAGTAAGGGAAATGCATTAGTTACAGCTGTAGGGGACCTTTACTTGCACCACCCAGTGCAAGTGAGAGGAAACCAGTCTTGAAGAGGGGTGGCTATGAAAGTTTTATTTGCTAACAGGTCTTGAGAGCCACATTGTTGGGTTTTGCCGCCCTGGCTGTTTTACAGCATGGGAGGATACTAGGTAAATAACAGGTCCCAGAGACAGTGTCTTGCAAGGCAAAATCAAATTATATCTTTTGAAGGACATTCTTGCAGGGGAGCCTTGGCCTTCATCAGTACAGCTACTGAGAAGCCTTGGCTCAGGAATCAGGCTTTGAGATGTCCGAGACTTGATCTGTTCAACGGGGTATCAGTTGTCAGTCAGCTTTGGAAGTCAGCTTGTAACACTTTCGCTCAGAAGCTGATTTTTCTTCCAGAGAAGAAGCTCCTGTGCATGCCTCTCCAAATGTATTTAATGGGGAAATGGAAACTCGCCCCCCCCACCCCACCCCCGGCCCATATTGTTTGGGTATTGAGTCTCAACCGTTCTGGGCTCAATATTACTCTCTACTTGTATAGCAGCTGGTTCCTTCCCCCTCTGCTCCTAAACTCCTTCCTTTCATAGGGCTTTAAATCTTATTTTTAACTAAGGGAACCTAAATTCTTTCTGAAGGTATATCAATTCTGCATTGTTCATTTGATTGCATGTGCACTGAATGCAATTCGCATCTTTGATAGGCCATGCTTGCTATATTAGCCTCTGTCCTTACTGGTATACTGGTTTGGACTACCCTATGCACTGTGAGTTTATGTTGTATTCCCAGGTGTTGCCTGGAGCCATACATGCTTTGCTGAATGCAGAAGCATGCTGCCAGTGAAGCGTCCTTTCCTTTCCAGTCATGCACAAATTAGTTGCAATCCTGTGGAGTGTGCTTTTTAGGAGGCTTTCTGGTTGTGGGTTGTTTTTTTGTTTTTCCACCAATTGTAACAAAGACTTCAAGTTAAGCATACCTCGGTGCTTGGTGCTTGGGTTCTGCTGCTAAAGAGAAGATTTAGCTGTGATTGCAGGAAACATGACAGGAGTGCAAGCGTGCAGGAAGACACCAGGCTGTTATGCTGGGTAAGAGCGTAACTGAGGCAAGTGCAAGTGCTGGGGAGCAGTTCCGTACATGCAGATGCATGGGATCAAGAAAATAACAGAGCAGATGCTGGCTGGGTGAATGCGATTCTGGCTTTATGGTTCCACTGTTAGCTAGTGTGCCAGCTTTTGTCTTCATACATGTCGTCAGTTTTCATGTAAAGGTTTGTGGGGTTTGACTCCGAGAAGTCCGAGTCACATGTTCAGCATGAGTCGATTCAGTCTGGATATTTCTCACGTTTTGCAGTGTGGTGACACAAGGATCTGAAACTTTTGTTAGAAACTTTTTTTTTTTTAATTCAGAAGTGTTAATATTTTGGGGGTTATGACAAAGATTTACAGATCTTCATTGGAAAACAGAGAAGGTTACGGAATTCAAGTATTTAAAACCTTCAAAATTTTTGAAGAATAAATATGTAGTAAACCTTTTATTT